GGATCCAAAGGTTCCTAATAGCTGAAAAGCAGTTAACAAGCAATATCCAAAAGTGATTAGAAAAGGAAGTATGTGAACCCAGTATCATTTTTTAAGGCGCCAACCACAGTTAGAGCAAAAAGATGGCTATTCCCTTGTCTCCCAGAGCTCTAAACCTGCCAGAGACCACTGTCATATAGTCCTCTCACAAGGAGCAACTGTATTGAGCACTTGTGAGTGATCTCAAGTCCTCTCCTTGTCCAGAGATGAATTACGAAGAGCTGGTGTAGTGGCTGTCAGCGGAGCCATCTTTAGTTCGCCATTTCTTCCCCAGAAGTCCCCCATGCTTCTTTATTTGCAATGGATGTTGAGAAGTAATGAGGCTTCAAATAATGTTCAGCTCATTAATGTGTTAAACAACAAATTAGCTGGCCAAGAGAAAAAGCCCAGTGTCGACTATTTTTACAAATATATTCCTCCTTGATCCAGTGAATCTTCATTCCTTTCTTTGCTCCATGCCATCAGCACCCTATTTGTATCAACTGACTACTGTATTATTGGTGGCATGTCATTCACACAGCATGTTGGGCAATTTACCCTTATTTGCAAATGTATAGCTTATTTCAAAGTTTTTACATATCTGGATTACAAATCTAGGGCAAGCCAAAGTGGCATATATAAGGATAAAAAGCTGCAACAGGAAAGAAAGGGAGATAATAAGAGATGAAATTAGACATTTAGTTGTGGAAACAAGCCTTAACCATAGCTGCAGATTCTGGAAAATTATATTCAGTATTATGCTAACCACTGCAAATGTAAAAAGAACAGATAAAATACTCATGCCATAACTTGCAGCAAGTGCTTGTACTTTTTAATAAATTTTAAAAGGTGGTCTTTTTGACCTTGGAAATAACAGTGTTGTTCAGAATTGTAGAATATGATATGGATCCCACAGCCTGTACACAGATTTAAAAGACCTGGCTACATTTGAAACAACAAATGGATTCAGTGTAAATAAATGTAGATGCTAGGATGATGCAAAGCACTTGACAGAGGTGTTTGGCAACAGGTGTTACCAAAAAATTTTCATTTAATTGTTAAAGCAACTGTATCTTTTGCAAGGTTCACATAGCTGCTTTGAAAACTGACCCTGGTTTTCTGTGCATGCTGTACATACACAGACAACACATCCACTGGGATATCAACAGAGCAAAGTATCAGTCAACTGGAGTCAGAATGATAAGTTTGATTATTCCAGTCAGCGTATATTTAAGTGAAGCTGAGTTCAGGAGGAGCCAGCCTCACATTTGGGTGGTGCTTTCGGAGAATCCAAGAACAGAAATGATGCCCTTTTGCCCTGAAAGTGTTGATTCCTTGGACAATTATGGGCAAATGCTCTGGAAGTAAGCTACTAAATGGTATAGGCCTACAGATTCATAGTTTGCAGTAGTCAACACAGATGATTGCTCAGCACCCCTATCTGTAAGCCTAACATAAAGATTTGTGGAGCAGATGAAACTGTTTACTTACATGCCTATCTTATGTCCCTTTTGCTTTGGTCAAATATAAATTGGGCAGAGTTTTTCATTAAATATGTATTAAATATGCCAGTTCCTTACTGAAAGTAATTATATCTTTGGTACAACAGAAAGAGAGCCAGCATGGTGTAGTGGTTAAGGTGTTCAACTGGTACTGGGGAGACCTGGGTTCAAATCTCCTCTCAGCCATGGAAGCTTACTCAGTGACTTTGGACCAGTCTCTCTCTCTCAGCCCAACCTACCCCCTTGTTGTGGGGGGGAAATGGGAGGAGGAGAATGGAATGTAATCTATAAATGATGCATAATTCCTGTTATGTATATGCATTGTTGAAAAGAGCCAATGCACGTTTTGTCAGGGGGCATCTTTGAGAAGGGCGGCTCAACAGTGTCAAAGTGGAGTGCATGACTGGGCAATCAGTCCCATCTTAACATGGGTCACACATATGTAAAAACGAGTAGGACTCTGCTCATGCCAACCTTTTTGACACTGTTGACCCCTTTGCAGATGCTTCTGATTTTGTCCGTCTTCTATTCTTTTTTGCTGTCCATTAAAATAAATAGTTTTGTAATTTTTCTTGGCTTTCCAAACACTGGTATTAAGTTACCTGTTTGCATACAATATACTAATAGCTTTTAATCAGTATCTGCAACAACCAGTTTTTATGCAGTTTTTTCTTTTCTTTTAGGAATGTCCATAGAAAATTATACAAATAAGAAAAATCCATGTGTGAGCAGAACTGTTAGGAATCTAACATACACTCCGACAGGTCTAACCAAAGTCGAGCACCCTGTGTTCTAGATTGATTCTTTTAACTCAGCTTGGGTAATAACCATATTTTATTCAGTTTAAAATATCATAGGCATTACATTTTATATTAATGCTTAGTGTCCTGTTAAAAATCTTAATTTTACCCATCCATCACACTTCACAAGTCTAGGATTCCTTACTTAGGGGAGCTGCCCTGGCAGTTTAATGCAACATGACCATGATTTTAATATATATACCTGGTATTCATCTACTTATTCATTGTTTATTTAATTTATCTTTATCCCGCTTTAAGGCTACAGGTCAACTTACAAATTTTGCCAGCAATCATAAAGAAAATCATAATTAAAAAAACAACAACAACAACTGAAGTTCACTCTCCAGAGATGTCTTAAGAACAGATGGGCACAATGGTCCTGTGGGGTGGGTGGCAGGCTGGAACAGTACAGTAAGGCTTCCGAGTCATCTTTGCTTACCTCCCTCTCCTGTAATGGCAAAAAGGATTGCCATTTGAGCATCTTTCATTTCGTTTTCCAAAATAAATGTTCTTCCTTTTATATATACTGACAGAAAAGAAGAGATGGGGATGTTGTTATTACCGTAAGTGATAGGAAGTTTTTCTCATTTAAGTTCTGAGATTTTGGAGTACTAAGAGATACCGCAAAGCAGTCATGAATTTTCAAAACAGTAGAAACTATGTATAGATGTATATTTTAGTTGTTAGTAGTACTGGAACAATTTCTATTCTTTTGAGCCTGATACACACATAAATACCAGCTTGGGCACAGATTCTCTGTGGGGGACTCACAGGGCAGAAAACTTCAAATTGACATTGATTTTCCATTGACAAAATCAGAACTCTGGTTAATTAAATATTTTCTGGTATAATCATGACTTACAGGAAAGGGTTTCCTGCCCAAGCAAAAGGTTAGAAGGGGGGCAGGAAGGGATGCTATTTAATGATCAATATATTTTTTTCTGAACATACTCTTTGAAAATTCCTCACTGGGCAGTCTTCTAACCCTGAGGCCAGTATTAAACATTGTTCTGCATTGGCTCTCTGATGCAAGGGAAACTGAAATGTTTCCCAGCCTATGTACTGTGTGATAGTGTCACTTTTCTTGGGGCACAGTACAGTGCCTTAGAGATTGCATATACAAATTAGTGTGTCTGTTGAAGTCATTGTCTAACTGATCATTCTGTGTCAGATCTCTCCTTTTTTGAGGCTGTTTAAGATGAAAGCTGCTTCAATCAGACCCTTGCTCTTAAAGGTAGCAAAATATATTCATGGACAGAATTATGTCTAATTACTGTGGAACAGGACCTCCCTTGCTCCTCCCTGCATAGTAACTGTTAGATCATATTATTTGTAATTACATTCGCTTAACAAACTAGGTTCCTCTAAAATGGGTTATACATTGTTTAACATTTAATTGCCAGAGATAAAACAGCATGTTCATGTTGGAAGCTTTGAAGTTATGACTCTGTAGAATCTGCAGTGACAAGATTTTAAAGAGAAAAATTCGTATTTTCTTGGCAGGTTTCATGAAAGCTTACTGTCTCTGAAGAGGGATCTAGCTGCTGCAACACCTCATTTTGCTTGTTTAAATTTCTGGTTGCTTTTGCATGCTGTACTGCAAACCATTTTCATTTCTCTGTGTTCTCCTCGTTGGGACTCATTTCTCATTCGTGTTTTTGTCTCATTTGTTTCCATCAGCAAATGCCCAGCACACCGGGGTTTGTGGGATACAATCCATACAGCCATCTGGCCTACAACAACTACAGGCTGGGAGGGAACCCGGGCACCAACAGCCGGGCCACGGTAGGAGAATCAACTATTACGTCATCCGGCAAACAACAGGAAGTGACCAGAAATGGCTTTAGAGTTAGGTTCTTCTAAATCTTAGCTGCTAACACTTTTTATTTTAAAAACTATAAACTTGAAAAATTAACTTGTGATTTCTTTCCCTTTCTCCCCAATCTTTCTCTCTTCACTAACTTTTTGATAATAGCCTTTTTTATTAGTCAATTGGAATGGGGTTTCGGGTGAGTTCACTTGCCGACGGGAACACACAGTATTTTTGAAACTGTTTTCACTGACCAGGCATCACTGACAGAATTTTTCCCTCTGCTCATCCATGACAGTGGTTTTCTATGAAAGCAGCTTATGCACCAACTGGCAAGTAATTAAATGAAAAAATGTAACATGATGCACAGACTTGTGTGAATCTTTAGTCTGCCCCCCCCCCCAAAATCAGGTGTGGTATTGGCCCTTTGAGACATGAACTTTCTGAGGTAATAACCTATTTCATCATATGGATGAAGTAGAGTGAAAAGGAAATGGGTATATAAATACATGAGAAAAGCCACACACAAAGATGAACTAAAGAAACAAATTTAGAACTAAAGAGAAGAGTTTTCACCCAATATTTAGAGGAAAGATTTTTGAAGCTAGAAAACTGCAAAATCTTGTACGAGATTAAAGTTTGCTGAAGTTGGTGTCTTCCCTCCCAAATGGTTGACAGTGTTCTAGAATGGGCAGGGGGAGACCTTCCTCTCTTGGTATGGAAAATGAGTTGGATTTTCCTATTATTAGTTTAGTCTGATGGTGATATATTATGCTGCACTATGTCATACTGAAAGGTTGTTCTCATTTGAAAGTTTTCTCATAAGAAACCCCCTTCAGAAGACCACCTCAGTGTGCTCTACTCTGCCAGTTAGCCTTCCAACATTGCTGAAAGCACACTATTGCTTGCCCTTGGTTATTGCTTCAGTCTGAGAGCTGGTTTCCGAGGCTTTGCCTACGATGTTGTAATAAAATTCAACTTAGAATCAGTGACTGGGTTAATTACATCGTGCTTCCTCCCGTAATTAGTTTCCAAAGGGGTAGTTGGGTTAGTGTTTTGCAGAAAAAACAACAGTCTTGTAGCACTTCAGCAACTGACAAATTTATTACTGCATAAACCCGGTTTTTTCCCATTTTATTGCTTTTATAGCAAGATTGCAAAAATAAACAGAGTACAAAAATGCATATGAAAAACGAAGAAACAAAATACTAAAGACAATTAATAAATGACAGAAAAAAAATAACAGAACCAAGAAATAGAAGAGAGGAGAAGAAACAAACAAAATTAATCTGCATAAGCCTCTGTGGATCAAAGTCCACTACCAGATGCATATAGACAGCTAATAAAATGAACTGTGATTTATGGAAATGCATGTAATAACAAATGTGTTAATCTTTAAGATGGTTCAGAGTGCTTTATTGTACAGCCCATAGGCAGCAGATACAGAGGATAGAATCCTGCTAACAGCTACATTCATGCAGTTCCTATGTATCTCTTCGTAAGAGCTGTATGACTATGCATTTGGAATTAACTAAAAACTGGTAACTATATTTAGTGTGTCATTATGTTGGGCAGTTAGAGAAGAAAGTACATAGCTCTTGTATTGGTCTGTGCCAAGTTCTCTTACAATTTCAGAGCGCTTGCTTGATCATCTGATGATTGTAGGCAGTCCCCAGTTAGCTTAATAATCTGTGAGAAAGAACAATATATAATAAATTGTGAGGTTACCATTCCCCTGCTAGTATAGAACTTTATTCTTAATCCATGGTAGTGTAGATTATAACGAAGTTGTCACTTTTCTACCCCATTTATTAGTTTGAGTTCTTAGTAGGAGGGAAAAGCTATGTCTAAAGTTTTTGGGGTTTATCACTTTAGATTACTGGTTTGTGTTCATAAAATAGAATATTCTTCTGTATAATATAATTCTTAGCACATAAAATAAAAGCCTGCCAGTGGGAAGCATTCTAATTCAGTCTTCTCTACAAAAGGCTCCTTTTTCTACAAGGAGAATTATTTTTCCTTAAGAGAACAGCACAAAAGTTTTTACTATCATCTGCAGTGGTTCAGTTTGGCTGTGTCCTTAGGAAATAGTCTACAGTAAGTATAGGATCGGTATTGATGCCGTTATATATGTTATATTCATTATTTGAGCAGGCAACTTCAGCTCTGATTCATATTTTTTTCACCTGTAAAGAATAATACTTTCAGGCTATTCCTGTCCAAAAATAATGAATTGTGGTAGCCAGTTAACCATTTTTTCAAAGTAAACATTGATTCAGGCTCAAATCCTAATATTTCACTTTTAACAAATGAGTGACAGGAATGATTAATTGATCCAGTACAAGCCTGTGAATCAGAGCTTTTCTGGGAGATACCTTAGGTTCCTTTAAACACACTGATTTGCTAATATGGAAAAACCTTCTTTGTATTCTTCACGGCTAGCAAAAAGAAAACATTCATATTGCAAATAACAGAGTTTCAAAAGTTGTACATAATGATAATCATGGGTAATTACCCTTTGTGTGTTAACTTTAGCCCCATACATTCTTACCTGGTATACTACTTTAAATAAGACTGAATCTTGACTTGAAAAAAAAAAATCAGATCCCCAATGATTTTTATATCAGATTCATATTAAAAGAAGTTTTTGTTTGTTTCACAGATTTTCATTGTGTGTGTGTATATATATATGTGTGTATATGTATACGTATATAGTGAACATTCATAGCTTTCTCTACAATGTATATTTCAATTTGGGTTTATGCTTTAAAAATTCTTATTGGTGTTTTAAGCATTAAGTTGATTCACTGGAATGTTTTCAGGTCCATCTTTATATATGTGTGTGTAACAGTGTACATTTGCTAATGCATACATCTCATAAATATTTTTTATATTTCATTAGATGTGATGTATGCACCACTGTTTAGTTCATAGCATTTCATAAATATGGCATGGAGAAAAGCTTATCCTTTTATTTTAAAAAATGTGCTTCTAAAATGTTGTAGGCCTGTTCATACAAAACATTCTTTATATATGCATTATCTCAGTGGAGCCATAAAATGACTAGATTATTCAAAATCTGAGATCTATGCAGTGGTGTGTATCTGCGTGTTTAAACCTTGATCTTAACCACTGTGGTCTCATCCCAAAATAATTGTATGTACTTTGAAGTGCAGATAGAATTTTGTTCATACAGGCTGCCTCATTAATTTTTAGGTGGAAGGTCACATTGAGTCTAAAAATGCAGACATGTATCTGTTTCCTTTGTTAAAATGAATAAGAATCCCCTGACTGATTTCACTGCTACTAATAAGGACCTCATCCTATAGTGATTACATTCTCCAGAGTAGAGGTGTTCCACTATTACCAAAGAAGTTGGAAAAGTGATCCTTGTGCCCCTAGAAACCCATTTACCACTCCCACGAGTACCCAAACAATTGTATCTCAGCCAGTGCCTGGAAAGTGCACTAATTTGAGTATTAGGTATCTTGTGATTGTTAATAAGTTCCATGAGAATTGAATGTTGTTGGATCCTTCTCACAGTAAAGAGTTGGTTCAAATGAAGGGTGAGCACATCTTTGAAAAAGACGAATTATATATGTATAAAAGTGTAGAAAGTGTAAACCAAGAACATTTTTGTGGAAAGAAAGGGACTTCACTTGCTACCCAATAAGACGTATTTCTTTTAGTGTAATTTTTGTCTTTACTAAGTGGAGGGAAAATGATTGGTGTTTCTACAGACCTGTAAGGAAAACAAAGGTTTCTCCAGGAACTCACTATGTAATTTGCACTTGGATAATACAATTTGGACTGATAAGATGTTCAAGTTGAGGGAGCAAGCTTTGCGAAATAGCTTGTTTTGATAAATATTTCAAGGGTCTTTCCAGTCTGTCATAATGGAATAAGGATAATTTGAGATAGCGTTGGGTGAGACAGTATCCAGCAGTATCAAGAACCATTAGGCAAAGAAGGCTGAAACATTCTTTAAGTCCCAGGAAGCAAGATAATATTCAGAAAAGGTTCAGGCAAATGCCTCCCAGATCCACTGGGTTATAAAAGGAGGGGAAATAAAGTACAATCAGACTTGCAAGATTCTGTTGTTATAGCTTATCTCAATAAAGTATAGTTCTAGTTTTCCTGTGGGTTGATCTTCTGATAGAGTCTACCTAATGGGACTGACATCAGTCTTGCAAATCTGATTGCACTTTACTTCCCCCCACTTCTTATGCCCCACTAAATCAGAGAAGCATTTGACTGAGCCACTTCCAAATATTATCTTGCTTGTTTCAGCCCTCTTTGTCTAGGTAACAGTTCTTGCATATTTCTGTCAAGGTCATTCCCCTTACTCTTTACAATTTCACTTCAGTCCTTTTTTCCATCCTTAATCTATATCTTCTCTTTAGCCCTAAGGTTGCATTCACCCTTGACATTTTACTATTACAGTGCTACCTTACCTATTAGAAAAAGTACTTTTAATGTTCTAAAGAAAGAATGGGCAATCAGTGGCCTCTAGGTGTTGCTGGGCCACAGTGATATTGCCAGTATTGAAAGATGCTGGGAGTCGTAGTTTAGCAACATGTGGAGGGCCATAGATTTCCCACCTGCACTCAGAGTTTCTTCTTTTCCAGTATTTGCTGGAAAATCCATACCATATTATCCAGCAGCAATTCCAGATATTTTGAGAAGTCAGAATAGAAGGGGCAAAATTGGGCAAGTCAGAAATTCAAATCAATTGCATCCGTTCCTCTGAGACAGTAATGATTATCTGGAAAGCTCTTATCAGACATTGCATCCTTACATTTTCTAAAGGGTTGCGGGATAACCATATATTTCATATCAGGAGGCAAGGCCACACAAATTGAGCTTGGAATTTACTGGACATTAGAATTGGTTAAATCACATATTGCTGTGCATGTGGTCATGCAGAGACACTGAAATAATATAGGCTCAAGTAGCTGTTGGGTTTCAACCTGGAGTTAAAGATGCAGGTGTAAATGTAGCCTGAGGTAGTTAGTGCAGATAGAGTAACAGCTGCTCTCAGAACATGAGATTGGACATTTTGAGTTGTTTAAGGTATTGTACTGTTGAAAATTGCCCTTTTAGTACAAAATCTCTGTTGAAAGTACAAATCAGAGAAGTATTATGGCACTTTTGACTCTGGATGCATGAGAATATACTTGTTCTCATGAGAGCTAGTAAGTGTTACCTGGACCTGTGTCTCACTTACCTATATGTGTGTATTAGCAAATGTCTCTTTTGCAGTTCTTAAATGTTTGAGATAATATAACCAGTGCATTTTATTTGGTTGTTCTTTAGGCATCATCGGGTATCACAATCCCCAAACCCCCAAAGCCTCCAGATAAGCCACTCATGCCCTACATGAGGTACAGCAGGAAGGTGGGTACAAAACGCTTGGTCCTGGTTAAAAGTCTGCCTCATCTTAACCTATTTCATGGTTGTTCTAAAGCGTGTTTGAATTCAAAAAGCAAACCTGAGTGCTTTGCTTATTTTTTTTTCCTTAAGGGAAAACTTAAGAAGGCAGTGGTCTCCTCCTTTCACAGTGAAGGCAATAGTGAACTACCCAAAATGGAGGGGAAAAAAATAAGGTTCACCACAGAATGAAACATGGCCACCATACTGTCTGGGAGAAATGAAGACCCTTTTTTATTGACTATTTAGAAAATGCTTAAAATGTACTACCGCTTCCTCTGCTAACAAGGATGCTTCGGGTGCCTTATTGACAGAATTTTCTGTATTAAAAGTATCCGCTTTCTGTGGCAAAGCAGGATTGGTGCAACTCCATAACTGGACTTTGCAATAGTGACAGTAGGATCTACTTTTCTCTTTAAAATATATTTTTGTTTTGAAGTTCTCTTCTCCTTTTACTTTAGGGAGAGGGAATAAGGGTGTAGTGTCACGCCCCTTCTTTTTCTTCTTCTTGTTTTTAATTCAGTGACCTTTTTTCTGATAAAATGAGAGCCTAGGTCTTATGGACAGCGCCTGATCCAGTCCAGTGTCAAGGAGTGACTAAGTCAGAAGGAGGACTGTTGTGTTACCTGCTTTTCTATCTGGTTCTTTAAAAAAAAAAAGTTCCATCCATCGGCCTCTCTTAAGACAAAAGAGAAGAATCATGTGCAGGATTTAAGGGAGAGGATGCTGTGAAAAGGATGCTGTGAAAAGGATGCTGTGCAACTGACAATAAAACCAGGCAGTGGATAAACGTACCTCTGTCTTCCCACCCCAGAGAAATAATCAAGCAGTGGACATAGCATAGTCCAAAATAACTGTCTTAGCGTAGCCTTGCTTTGTGGTGATAGTTCTCTGAAAGGACCATAGTCATGGTGGTGATATTAACAAAAGATGTGTTTATTTTGTAAGTATTTAGTTAGCTGGAGTTTTACTACAGATGTTTTTATTAAGGTCTGGGACCAAGTGAAGGCGTCCAACCCTGACTTGAAGTTATGGGAAATTGGGAAGATCATTGGAGGGATGTGGCGTGACCTCACTGATGAAGAGAAGCAAGAATACTTAAATGAATATGAAGCAGAAAAGGTACACAGAAGAAATCTCCCTCTCACTCCCAAATGACGCTGGAAGTCTGTCTTTCTCTTACATACACATAAAGCTAAAGTAAAATAAAATAAAAAAGACTGGTTCTGGAGGAGGTCACTTACGGGCTCATATACAAGAGCATTATTGAGGAAAGAAAACCTGAATCAACTTTTGCTGTACAAGGCCAGATCCGCTAAGGAATTTTAAGGAGAGTATGATAGAATCACGATACCTTGGATGGCTTGAAAAGAGCCCAGCTTGAGTCAAGGTTGCCTACCCTCCCTCTCTGCCCCCAACTAAACATCTAAGCATAAAGGTACCTGGAAATAAAGCACAGTTAATGAGACTCCCCTCTTCCAATTCCTCCCAGCATCATACTCCCCAGTACTTCCCTTTGCTGTTCATTATATATGGACACATTCCGAAATGTTTAAATGCAACCCTACCCTGCTTCTGGCCGTGAGACCCTTGCAGAAGAGAGCAATTGAATCTCAGTAATCAGCCCTGAGATGTCTGTTCCTTGCTTCCTGTGAAATTGTCCTTGTGTATTGCGAGGATTTTTTAATTGGATGAAATTCCCAAGGGTATGGGAGATGGGATTTATTGTAATTTTTTGTTTAAAAAATTGTATCTGTCAACCTGTAGATAGAGTACAACGAATCAATGAAGGCCTATCATAATTCACCCGCTTACCTTGCCTACATCAATGCCAAAAGCCGTGCTGAAGCTGCACTGGAGGAGGAAAGCCGGCAAAGGCAATCCCGTATGGAGAAGGGTGAACCTTATATGAGCATCCAGCCTGCTGAGGATCCAGATGGTAAGCAAGAGCAGGAGAAACAGTGTCGCCTGCCAATAAATAATGGCAAAATACTTGAGTTGTAGCTGTTTATTTGGCAGTGGAATTTTTCAGAATTCAAGAAATCAGTCTCTTATTCTCCACTTAGAACAACTTGCTGGGAAACTGTCCAGAAAACACTATTTGCTGTTTGGGAACGTTTCTGTAATTGTTACAATTCTTAGTTTGGGATCTGCACACAAATAGGATAAAGCTGCATAAAACAAAAGTGACAGTATTAAACATCCTTCAAGTATTGTTTAGCAATCTATATTTTTCCACTAATTTGTGCATGAGAGAAAACAGTTCTCACGCCAACTAGCACAGTTCTGTCATCAAAGATAGAGAAATTCAAGATGTCCTGAATACAAGTATTGCACGCAGCTGGATTTGATTAATATACTGCTTTGAAAAGTGTGCATTCTAACATCTTGGTTTTTGCAGACTTCTGGGCTTAGCTATTCAACTGACAGTTTTGAAAAATAAACCTATTTTTTCACTGTGACAGTTACTTGGATTGATACAAAGGGAATTGCCTGTTGGCCAGAGACATGTAAAGTTGTCCCAAGGGGTTGAGTACAAGAGAATCAACTATGCTCTTCACTTGTTTAAAGGCTTTGAGTCTTTTCATAGGTACTTGACAACAGAATTGAAATGTACCATAGAAATTGCAAGATCAGGAAGTCAGTCTGGGGAGAAAAGAATTGAAAAGCCAGGAATTTTTTTACTAAATATTCCAGTCTTCTAGATTCCTTGCCCAAGCCTAGTAAGGTCAGATGAATTCTCTCATATATATAACTAGTTTGTGTCTTTTGAATGGCCCACAAAATGGGATGTTCATTTCCTGAACTGTTTTGAATCCATCAGTATTAATTAACTATATGTTCACCTTTGAAATTCTGATCAGTATATTTCTTTATCATAATGTTTCACTTCCTCTCAATCTAGGATCTCTATTTTATCTTATTTATTATTTATTTATTTATCAAACTTATCCCCGCCCATCTCCCCCCAATGGGGGACTCTGGGCG